TGCTTACGGGAATTTAAACATTCACTTACACATCAACCTGGTGTAAACGGTGGTCCAGCTGAATATCAGCTGAAGCTATCAATCTGTATGGAGGACATTTATTTGAGAATTGTCGTAGACGAGAGCTTCGGCTGTCACTTCAAGTTAATTCGCAAGTGAAGGATGTACACAGTTTGATGATATTTTATTCGGAAAACCGTTAAATTTTAGTCTGCACAATGTAAAAATGCATTAGAACTATGTGCCGCGATCGCTTTAAGTCAAAATTCTTACGTGATGCCTTTGTGTAATTTAAAGAGTAAGTCACTTCAGGTGTGAATTCAAAGACGCTGACAGCTCTGAACGCTTGTCACACTAGTATGCAACGCAGATCATCAGTTGAGATGGAGCCCAGAATGAAATCCAACCCATCCAGTATTCCCTTATCACCACACAGAAGCCTGCGTTGGTGAGGTGAGAAAATTATGTTGCAACGATATCTCATTGAAACACAACTTCTTCCTGTCCATTTCGGCATAGCGTCTACCATTAATTGTTTGGCTGAGGCTGATTTTGTTTTTGTACGGATATCATGATGATTTCATTCACCGGGTGCAACCACACAAGAATTCCCTTCGAAACAAAACACATCAAATCTTCATTGGTCATTACCAGTTACCTCCACCTTCACGTGAGTTGGGCAGTTTTGCTTGTGAGCTTTGCCCACAAGACATAAGACAAATCATCTGACACAAGACAAATCATCCACTGTTTGTTCTGGGTAGAAAATGAATGCGGAATGTAATTTTGCTTCTGCAAACGGATGGCATATCCTGTCCAACGTTTCTGGATCGCTCTGATTGCCCTGTAATCTTACGTGCATTAAGATGGATTTCTCAAAAGGCTGAGAGCATCTTCATCTATCGAGTAAATTTTTTAAGTCACTGCAGTTCGCTGCGCCTAAGTAAAGTTTCGATGATCTGAGTGATCAAGGGGCGTCGGAGTCAAGGATAACGAGAGCGATCGAGAGGAAAACCAATAGGGATTAGCACTTCGAATAACCAACCACTCTACCTGTTTGAGCGTGAAATTTTTAAATTGTGCCAGGCATTTCAAGCTGAACAAACGTTGATTGACATCATTAGAACGGCCGAGTATACAAGCATTGTCCCAAAATTTTGGTGTGGTAGCTTCGAGCTTTTGTGTGCCTGTTATTTCCTCTTTTTATCAACGACAACGTGCTTCTCAAAATGATTAGTAACTGGCACTGCCCGCCTTTACTCGGAATGTGGGACGGCTTGTCTACTGACCCCATCCAACAGTGTTTTGCTACGTTAAGTGATTAGTAACATGTTTGCTGATTGCATGATTATCGGTTGCCCTAAGGCGGCATTCGTTTCATTGAGTCCATGATAATATAGTTAGGCCTCGGTACTGACTACAGAGTGCGCTGGAAGCTCGTGTATTTAACCACTTAACCAGGTTGAAATTAATCGCCCATCACGCTGCCACCGTAGCTTATGACGAAATTGTTGTTGTTTCCTTTGACTGACCCTAATTCTTCCGGATCATAGGTCCGAAATGTGCTCAACGGAGCCTTTTGACACGCTGCAAAACTGAGATCGAAAATTTTTCGTATCATGACGGCTGCTTGCAGCAGATGAGGAAATTTGAAAATAAAACGTGCAGTATACGTAAACGTCTCATTTGATAATTTTCTATTCTTCTAATCTAATCATTGCGTCCAATATGGCAGTGTGACTCATGATGCTACAAAAATTCAAGCACCCAAATAAAAAATTGCCCTATTGGTGAGATTTGAACTGTCCTTTGAAGGATTCGTTCCAGACAATATATCCAAGCATACGTCAACATAAACTCGATTCCATCTGAATTGTGATCTGTTTCGGGATATACTGAGTTCTCCTGGGGGCATCATACCCAACTGGGATGGTGTAACAACTTAATTACCCACCATCATTTTCACTTGGTTCATTTTTGTTTCAGTTTATTCGCGTTTTGGCGCCAGCAAACAGGGACAAAGAATATAATAAATATCACATAAGACCAACTGTATCACCAAAATGATGGTAGCAAACTTTCGTGCTTATGTGTAAACCAAACCGTTTGGGTTCATTGGTAGAGAAAGCATTTTCTCCCATTCCGTGTTGCTTAAAGTCATGATGGGGTGTTTTAGCTACTTAAATTTAGCTTTTTTAAAAAAAATTAGCCGACAAATTTTTTTCATTCATTTGGAACACCATAGTCCACGGTGAGTCAACCCGTATCTCCACATTATGTATAGAAGTTAGGTTTCACGATAGCCGCTCTCAACTAAATAAGCAACAACAAAGATTTCATATCTCGCTTCTTACTGTCACGTCACACTGGTTCCCAGCAGATATACAGGATTCAGACAGTCCTTTAGTACGCTTTGTGTTTACTAGCAACCAGCATAAGCCTAGCTGATGTTTTCACCTATTGGTATAAAAGCGCGGTGACATCGCACTTTCTTTAAGCTAAAGCAGAATCATTTTCGAGCTCACCTACTCACCGAATAAGTAGTTTCTATCCAGACTTTCCTTTTCCAATAAAAATCTTTTTTGAGTGTATTACTGCTTATACCAGCGAAGGATGTGAGCCGCAAACAAGTGCCCTTGAGGAATCACCTAGACCGACCACTTGTGTGGTGACTACACCGCCAACAGCTTACCTAAAGTAGCAAGGCTCCGTAACCCTTGAAAGTAAAGTCATTGTTGAGGCATTCATGCTGCGCTACCATATAGCTAAGTCAGTTTCACTGGTGACAAATCGAATTTTAAGTGAAAGAACATTATGTTGGCCTAGAGGAAACAAACGTGGCGCTCAGTCCATAAACACTTAGTCAGACAGTCTGGAACGGGAATGTTAACATGATTACCTCTGTCTATGTTTTGCTGCATTGCCTCCAGCGAAACACACAGAGGATACTGTGGACTCCAGACAATGGATTTGTTCGCACCTGCAGCAGTCGTGCATTTCATGATCAATACTTCTTGCTGTCAGTGCATTTGCTGTCTGCCCTTAGGTTTATGCAACTCTGAGTATGGCACAAAAGCAGTACTCTTCTTGGTGAGCGATAGCTCGTAATGTGTAACAGATGATCACTTCACCTCAATTTATCTCAGAAATCAGTCGTAAACCGAAGAGAATGTCGTATCACTGAATGCTTATTTGATGATCGCATTACCAAGAACGTCTGGTGATACCCCATACCAGTCATGGTTCTGAAAAACCTGATATCAATTATACGAAGAGGTTTCACTTACTCTACTCTCAGATATCCCGCGTCAAGAGCGTAGTGCGCACCAATAAAAGCGATCAACTAGATCATATTTTTGCTATCACAAATGAGGAAGATTGGAAAAAAGTTTATCTGACTTTTCGGGATTCCTGAACTGTGTACGTCCGAAACAACGACACCAAATCGAACCATCATTCAATAGTTCTTCCAAAACTATTCTAAACAGAATTTCGTGAAAACTGTTCGAGAGCCAACGATCGGCTTCGCCCTTCTTGGGGCTCAGCCGGTAGGCAGTGTTCCCGAGTTGACGTCAACCTTTTGTTCTGCTTCAACCCAAATAACACGAAAAAGCACTAGACTGCATACCAATTCGGTTTTGACGGAAGACCCACCTGAAACCCAGATGAAGCACTCGTAAATGAAGTTCATAAGTATCCATCTATTTTTGCGGCTCATGACTGCTTTCGGTATGTGAATCGCAGTGTCCCTAACGAATATCTCTTCACACTAATATGTTAGGTGTGCCGCTCAATAGACTCTCCGAGTACAAATCACTGAATACGTTAATTTTGACCTGCGGTTAAACCGTTCTTTGTGGTGTGGTGATGACTGCGAACGTTTCATCAGGGTCTTCTCGGTAGAACGTCAAGACGAATGAAGACAATTACCAGAAGTACCTGTGTGGTGATCTCCAATCTACATATTATTACGTGACTTCTACACGCCATCGTGCCCAAGGATTGGCTCGACATTTAACACTGGAACACTAAGAATTCGGTACTGGGTTCCTAAATACTTCACAGTAATTGGCCACCATCGAGAAATGGTTTGATCGAATGCAGGCGTAAGATTACTCTCATTCATAGCAAATTTTCACTGACAGTTACTACATTGTAAACGTAAAACATCAGGGTAATCAACACTCCACTACCTAGTCGAATAACATGCGAGGCGCTCCAAGGGATAAGATCACTTACGTCCCATTTAGAGTGAGTCGGTTGGTAAGGCCTGAAAGTTTTCGCTAAGAGCTTCTTGTTGGCCACTTCAGTATTGCTGCATTATTTTCCTGTTAATCCATTGCATGTACAAACCTATGGATCAACGTTACGTCTGACGCTGGTTTATAAAATCAAACAGTTATGTACATGCGTAAGTTCGTCAAACGTGCACCTGTTTACTAACTGATCGAGGATACGTGCATATACGTTTTGTACATGCTAGAGTCAAAAGCACGGGGTAAACTTTTTTCCCGTTCTCACAATCCAAAATAGAATTTGAAATATAGGCAGACTTTTCTTAATTAGAAGCGTCAAATGCGCTGTGCGGAGTTGCTGTTTTTAAAATAAAGCCATCGGGTCATTATCGTACTTGACACCACTATTTTTACAAGTTAAGAGCAATAAAAGGTAGTTTGGGACCTTCGTCAGAGGTGCCACTTACATAAAGTTAACAGGTGGGAACTACCGTTCACGAATCGATTTTACGTAGCTCTCTGGTTTTTGGGTCGCTACATGACTAAGATTGCTATTGGTAAGAGTTTTGCGCCTGCAACATATGATCAACCTACGTCCGAAATTTCCGTGTGCGTCGAATGGATCCATTTTCACCACTTAATGTATCTTGTAAGTCTCAAACTCATACAAAAACCATTAATCGATCATTATCAACACAAGAATTATGCAGCTTGCTGGGCTTCAGGACATCTTAGAGTTCCTATATGTTTTAGCTCTGCGGAATCCTCACAGTGATCAGTTACTACGTAAAGTTTGCCTTTGAGTGTTTGAAATGATTATTGAACATCGAACGTTTTGAGTAGCTTTTCTACACATTATTTGACAACGTACAGGAAGGTAATTCAGCATGGTTGTCGTTAGTTGGCCTTGTTTTCACTCGAAATGAGAAAGTTGAGCATTGATTTTTATTTCCCCTCAGAAGTACTTTGTGATCCGGTTCCATTCAGATCTGATACCAGGCCATTGGATGGGTGCTTCATTCCGCGAGCGTTGGTTGCAGAGTCACCAACCGTGGCTGCAGTGTGCATAATTTTTGTTAGGGTTTCAGGTGCGATACCGTTGAGTTGTGAAGTTAATTCACATTTATCATTCTCCTGCGTATCTCCATTTTCAGTGTAGTCGATTTCTATGATACTCGGATAATGGACTTGGACAGCATCTCCAAGCGGATGTTCGCTAGTGGGTTGAAACTTGTGTTCTGGACTGCTAGCATCTGCCACGAATGCACTCTGTAAAGTGTAAAAATGTAAACTTACAAAGTGACATGAGTGATTTGTGGAGAGGAGTAGATTACATAGACCCTTAACCCATAGACGATGTTCGAAAGTGATTTCACCCTGTATTCTGAGCGTAAATGTCGCCCCAGTTTCAGAGCAGTTTTGTTATCTTATATCCCAACGAAGCATAGACCTTAATTATAGGAATTTTAGGTGCAATGAAAACTTCACGGGAACTGCTGATCCATTTTCTGTTTTAGTACAACTGGCCAAGTTTATAACAGATATACAAATGAAAAAAAGCTTTGAGATGTCTGGAAGGAATAGCAGTTGATTGTTTTCCATAACCGTCATCAATTTTCAGTTTTACTCAGGAGGTAAAAAGCAAACATGAACAGCTAGCTGTAAGATGACCAACTCCTTTCCAATGTTTTTAGATGATGATATTTAACTGATGCCGACCGAAATAAATCAAGAAACACGTTGCTTTGTATTCTGGAACCTGACGGTAAACCTTTAGTGGGACTTACACAAGAACAGTCTGACTGTATGACGTAAATTGTCAGGAAAGAACCTACGCTACGAGAAATTATTCGGGTTTTATACGCATAAGAATAACAGTATGTGGTTGTGCAGATAAATGGTTCAAGAGTGCAACATTATATTTACCCTCTTTTCAAATGGATGTCCCTTACAGCACCTCCACTATTTCAGTTGTCCCGATTCATTGTCTTTTGAATGAGAAATAGTTACAGGCAGCAACTTAATGGCACAAGTACTTCTTGGGAATTGTTTTTTCCACTGTTACGGTCATAAAAAATCTCGTCCTCAAAACCATTTCACTCATTGAATTCCTTGATGAGATTTTCAAACTTTCGGAACCATGTTGGGTTCTAACAAGCGATTCTGTGGTGCAGTTTTTCTGTACTCCTCTCGATAAAAGTGAACCACTGGAATCGGCATAATCCAAGTTTTCTTTTAGACTATTTGTCTTGTCTGTTCCATCAAATGCTTTTTAAGTTAATTTGAGGGTATTTGTACTTGCCTCTTGTGAATAATAATAATCTAACATAGTAAGAGTATAGACTCCTGCTATTTTCTCGTGTTTTTCGGTGACTGGCAAGTCTTCGCCTTTTCATTACATGGACCTTTAGTTTATCGTTTATTTTTTTGACACGCTGCGTGGTTGGTCACTCGGTTTTATCAAAGCACGCACTGAAGCACTAAAATCTGTTCCATATTTCATTACTTAAACGAGACATAGGCTTAACGTTGATGACGATATTTTGGGACGGAATACTCAAGTAAAATGTCATGGCCCTGAAGGTTCAGGTGCTTGCACAGGTAGAAGTAAGAACAAACGATTAAAAACAGTTCTACGTGTCAGCTGGTGATCGGCGGCCAGTTCGACAAGCTTGACAGCACCCACACAAACCTTACTGCAGTACCATGCCCCGTGGAACACTTGGGTAGAGGTAAACCAAGGCGTTTGGCTAGGGCTTATCTGCCTCTGAGTTGTTTTCAGCTCCAACATTGTTCACTTAGCATTTAAATAAACTGCAGGCAAATTTGAGTCGATTCCGGATAGAATCCTCAAAAGGCCGAAAGCATTCGAATTGTTGCACTTTTCCTCATCAATATGGTCCTTTACATTTATAAATGAGCCATTCACAGCTGGTTTAGGCAGAGCAAAACAGTAACAAATAACTTTGCGTCCCAAGCAATCACTTGCAGGCAGGTAAATCACGGATAGCAAAACATGCGCGTACAACGCTTACCGGTAATCGCACACATTAGTATACCACTAACTCACGATATGAAACCTTTTCGAAAGCGTTTTGAGCCCACCGACCTACTTAATCAGCGAAACATAGTATAAAGCACTCTCGTGTATACGAGGCTTGCATATGAGATTCGGTTGAGGTCAGTGAATATATGGCAAGAAGACTTTCACAGCTAGATTCCTAGAAAGGACTCAAGCGTGGCAAAACGGAAAATTTTTGAGCGGTATTTAAGGGAGTAGATAATTTGCCTTAGAACCACTGTTTACTGCTACCAGAACTGTACAAGTGCGGACAACCGGTGAACTATTAAGGGAATGAGACTTACTCTTCGTTCAATCTTCCTTTCGTGAGATGACATCTGAAAAAATAGTATGCTATTAAAAGTTTTGAATCGCAGTTGACTGATGACTAGGCAAAACTTCAGTATCTAATATGATCCTCATATCTGGAAACCTAAGTTATTTTTGGTGCAGTTACTGTTAGCAGGATGCATGTGAGTCCATGCCGTTTGAGAAGATCTATAAGACTATCGATGTCCTATGCCTTTACTTCAGTCATGACACATCAAGTTAAGTGACAGTTAGTCAGAAAATTCAGGCTCATGCATACTCGAGTATCAACTGGGAGAACCAGATGAAAAGCCACCGCTGGAAAGGAACACAGTAAACTTCGGAGACCACCCCCACAATGTCACTCACCGAAGCAAGTTCGTGATGTGTTAACATTATTGGGCTTTACTAATTCACTTAGGTACGTCTACTTACTCCGTCTATGCAGAAGTAAACGTTTCGATCATTGGATTCACCCGGATGGAAGTTTGTCAATGGACATCAAGCCCACTCCCAAATTTCAATCCTGTGTCCATTGGAGACCCATGTGTCGACTCTAATCATTAGAGTTTTCATGATTTTTTTCTGCTTGCATATCAATTGACTGCTATGTAGACAGCTCGCTGGTACCTGAATGGATATCGTGTTATCAAAGTACGAGATCTCCGCTAGAGTTTGCGCTTTTCTTCATGTGCACTTTGAATGATGGAAATAATTACCCTAAAATTTTAACCGCTGTTTCTCAGGTAGTATCTACATCGGTTTTTGGGTATAACACATTCGTAAGTTGGATAGAGTAACAGGACATAACAGCTACCCGCTTTGCCTCGCCTAAAAGTTAGCGTCACGTTGTCCGATTCGAATATCCTAAGGTCCTGTCCACTTGTAGCAACAAGTGGGAACATGGTATTTCAGTAGGTAAACTCGCGCAACCAAGTCTCATTGCTCTACAGCGTCTAAATCGTAAGTTTCGAATTACACTGACACAGATTCGGATCGAATCAAACTGTGATTGATACTCAAATGAAGACCGGAAACGAAAACAACGTTTTGAGCCCAGAACATTACATTCCGTCTAGCACTCTATCATAGGCCAGTTCCATTGATAGTGCCTAAATTCGATGAACCGACTAACTTGCATTTCGACCTCAGTCCCATTGACAACCTGTGAGGTGAGATCACAGGAACGTAAATTTTGCCATCAGAATTTCGCTGTGTCATCATCATCATTGTCAGCTGTAAGAACCGCGTACTCGTCGTACACTGGTTGTAGCTGCCACAGTTTCGTTCACCGATGATTGG